CAGAACCAGGGTGCCCAGGTGGTCATAATGTAAAAGCAGATCGGTGTGCACACACTGTATATACAAACATACACTGTATAGAAGCAGACACACTGACCTCGGTGACGGCGAACACTCGGTTCCCACATGGAACTACTTTGTACCACTTGTCGTGCAGCAGGTCCATAAATCCTTCTGATTTATATCTGCTGATGAACTCTGAGACATTGGAGGTCAGAGGGGAGTTCTGAGGCAGTCCAATTCCATAACCTACCATAAACAATAAACATCAGACTGATATATGATATTATAACACAGTTATGATGTTATGAGGACTGATGATGACTAAATAAAGAGTAAGACAACAAAATCTAAATGATTAAAGCCATGTAAAGACTTTAATTTCATAAACTTCAGCACCATCACACCAGTTCTATAAAGCCTCATAAATGCTTTATCATGTCCTATGAATGTGCTTATAATGCCTCATAAACATGACCTTCATAGATAGCGTTACCAAAAAAAACCCAGATAGTTTTAATAAGACATACGTATCTTATTAAAACATTATAACAATACATTTAATTAAAATTACACATTTGTTCTTCTAACAACATGCCACTTTATCTTCAACATCACAACCACAAAATGTTGTGTTTTATATATTGATCTTTCCTTAAAATAAAGCAATCTGTTGTTATAACAAGAAAAAACTGTAGTCATAAGTGTGTTATAAGGAGAAAAATGTCATAACGTTTATAACATAAAAATCACAGCAAAACCGATAACTGTGTCGATGATTGATATGATTGCACCAATAAGTTGCTTAAGGACTAAAACAGCTGAAAACAAAACTGAAGAGTTCAGCGTGAATAAAGTTTGTAAGAAGAGCGAGAGCAGAGAGTCTGAGAATAATTATACAAGAGATGACACATGAAGCAGATTAATTAAAGAAAAGAAAAGAGAGTGAAGGTTTGAACAGTAATTATTTTGGAGGGAGAACGGCATGGAGGTCTAATTAAACAAAAAGCTCAATCATTGTTAAATTAAGAGATCAGCTGGAGGTCAAAGCACAGAGAAATCAGACTGAAAACTTTATTTAAAGATCTGTATTTTTTGACAACTCATTTGTTCTTCATTTGTGTCTGACTTTGACACACACAAAAGTGAAGGAGGCAGTAAAACCTGTATTCTCTGTGATCACCATCACTGGTTTGAATGTGGCTGAATTCACCATGTAGTTTTTCTCATTTATATATATATTTTTTACTGCTGTTGTCACACAACTGACTGCTGAGCTGCAGATAAAAACCTTGTCTAATCATCAGGACATTGTCAGATCAAGATCAATGCAAATTAATGACAACAACTGAGCTGTGACATTGGCCATGTTACACATAAAAAGTCAAAGTAAGAAGCAGTAAAAGTTCATTATATTCAACTACAAACAAAAAAACGTGTATTTATGCTGTAAAACATGACCAGGTTATAAGCTGCTATACAAAGTCAGCATTGGGTATACCAAATATAGATTCCCTCTGATGCTCATCGTTCAGTGTTCTGCGAGCAGAATTTTCCCCCTAGGATGGCGAAGGCATGAAATAGTTGTCTGATTTTAATGAGTAGTTGGAATAACAAATCATTCAAAATGCATAATGGTGTAATCTGTAGTATTGAAATAAATCTGCACCTCTTCTGTGTCTAATGTTAATGTGATAATGATGCTTCCTGCCTGCCTCAGTGCCAATTAACAAATACTTCTGGGTGGGCAACTCTGTTGACAGCAGAGGCTGGACGGGCATAAGTTACGAGTGTAGGGTCCAGTACACCACTGGGCTGTTGGACTCATGAAATCTTCTGCCTGTAATTCACAGTACAGTAACCTGAACTCACACATTGTATTCGTCCATTAAACATTACACACAAACATTGTTTCCTTCCCTCGAGGGGTTTGTCATTTGTGTTTTTAGACTATTTAAATAAAGCTGACAGGAGGAAACAGCTCCCAGTGAATCTTTAAACTGTCAGAGTCTGCAGGGAGACATCTCGTCTGATTGGTTGAGATGATGAAACTTTATGAAACATGTTTCAGAAATTACTCGGAGGAAGTGAACTGAAGTCAAACCCAGAAACACAAAGACATGTTAGTGTTTCTATATTCTTGTGAGGACATTCTGTCAGTGAACACATTAACCTCAATATCAACCGGAATCCTCAAACACTATAGTAAAGGGCCGTCAAGATCTTCCTCACTTTCTGAAGATGTGTCATCACAAAGATAAAAACAGCATGCACTGTCTCACAGCAAATACAGCAACTACAGCAACTAACAAAGATAAAAACACAACAGCATGCACACTGTCTCACAGCAACTACAGGAACTAACAGCAATTAACAAAGATAAAAACACAACAGCATGCACACTGTCTCACCTTCGATGGCAAACGGTTTCCCAACAGTCGCCAGTTTACAGTCGGCGTCGATGGAAACTTCGTAGTCGAGCAGCGCTTTGTCCATGATGAAGGCGTCGAGATGAGGAGGATCTGTCCTTCAACACAGAGCAACACGATTACTACAGCAACTAACAGCAACTACAGCAATTAACAGCAACCACAGCAACTAACAGTTTTTAAAGCAACTATAGCAACTAACAGAACAAGCAACTAACAGTTATTAAAGCAACTACAGCAACTAACAGTTATTAAAGCAACTAACAGCAACTACAGTAAGTACAGCAACTAACAGTTATTAAAGCAACTACAGCAACTTGCCGCTGTCTCCAAGGTCTTGCTCATGGTGGTACTGTTGGGTCTCTGTAAATAATGTTATAAGGAGTTCGGTCTAGACCTGCTCTATTTGA